GTGTGTGTGTGTGTGTGTGTGTGTGAGAGAGAGAGGGTTAGAGAGAGCTCCCCAGATACAGGAGTGTCTGTGTGTGTGTGAAAGAGAGAGGGTTAGAGAGACCTCCTCAGATACAGGAGCGTGTGAGAGAGAGAGAGGGTTACGGAGACCTGCCCAGAGACAGGAGTGTATCTCCCATCCCCTCCCGTTGCAGTCCCACTGGTCGTCCCTTTCCTGTTCTCTTGAGTTCTCACACTATATTTCTCTCTCTCTCTCTCCCCCTGCCCCTGCAGACGATGCTGACCGCCATCTCAATGAGTGCCATTGCCACGAACGGTGTTGTACCAGGTATGAGGTTCAAACTCAGCCTCACTCGGGCTTTGCACACTCTCCCTGACCACCCTGACTTGCTCCCCTGCTCCCACCTTTCACCTGTAACTCCCAGCTGCCTGCCCTGTTCCTGGACATGTCACTCCTCATGGTGTGATAGACGCCCCCACCTGTGGTGCCGTGGTCTCTCACTTAGCTGCTCTGTCCACAACCCCCCCCCCCCCCCCCCCCCCACCCCGTAACTTCCCCAGCACTGCGTACTCTCATTAATCCCGTCATTAAATCTATCTATCAACATCCTTGGGGTTACCACTGACCAGAAACTGACCCGGACCCAGCCCCATATAAACACAGGGGCTACAGGAGCAGGTCAGAGGCTGGGAATCCTGCAACGAGTAACTCCCGTCCTGACTCTCCCCTCCCCGTCCCCCCCATCGACAAGGCACAAGGCAGGAGAGGGAGGGAATACTCCCCACTTGCCCCTGGATGGGGGGGGCAGCTCCGACAACGCTCGAGAAGCTTGACACCATCCAGGGACAAAGCAGCAGCTCCCCCCCCCCAACCCCCTCCCGCTCAATGGGCACCACATCCACAAACATGCCCCCACCTCCCCCTACCCACCACTGATGCTCAGTCGCAGCAGTGTGTACCATCTACAATATTCCCTGCAGAAACTCACCGAGGCTCCTTAGACAGCACCTTCCAAACCCCCACGGCCACTTCCATCCAGAAGGACAAGGGGCAGCAGGTACATGGGAACACCAGCGCTACCCCCCCACTCCCCATCCCGACTCGGAAATAGATCTTCCGTTCCTTCAGTGTGGCTGGGTCCGAATCCCTGGAATTGCCTCCGTAAGGGACACTGTGGGTCTTACCCTACAGCACATGGACTGCAGCGGTTCAAGAAGGCAGCTCATCCCCACGTTCTCAAGGGGAGGGGGGCAACTGGGGACAGGGCGATAAATGCTGGTCCCGGCCAGTGATGCCTACATCTCGATGAGGGACTTTTTGTAAAATAAGTGAATGAGTGTCCATCACTGTAATGTGTTTCCTCTCGCTCTCTCTGTCACCCAGCTGGCGGCTCGTACTTTATGATCTCACGATCCCTGGGCCCGGAGTTTGGGGGAGCAGTCGGTCTCTGCTTTTATCTAGGGACCACCTTCGCCGCAGCCATGTACATCCTGGGAGCGATTGAGATCCTCTTGGTAAGGGAGCTTCACTCTGTCTCTAACCCCATGCTGTCCCTGTCCCTGGGAGTGTTTGATGGGGTGGGGGTTTGGGGGGGGCGCAGTGTAGAGAGAGCTTTACCCTGTATCTAACCCTGTGCCGTCCCAGTCCCTGGGAATGTTTGATGGCGGAGGGGGGAACAGTGTAGAGGGAGCTTTACTCTGTCTCTAACCCATGCTGTCCCTGTCCCTGGGAGTGTATGATGGGGGAGGGGACAGTGTAGAGGGAGCTTTACTCTGTCTCTAACCCCGTGCTGTCCCTGTCCTGTAGATGTGTGTGTTGTCCCCGCATGTCCCAGCGTGAGCCGTGTTTGACTTTTACAGACCTGAGCCCTCTTTCACGGTTAGTCTCTGGAGGTGAGGAGAGAGAGAAAGGTGGGGGCGTGGGGGGGGCTTATTTTGGGCGCGCACTCAGGGAGCTGTGCGTTGAGGGATTTTTTAAAGAGAAATAAATTTGCCCTGAATCACGGTCTGTTCGTCTGTCCCTCCCCGCACTGTCCCTGTGCGTTGACAGAAATACATCGCTCCACGCTTGGCCATTTTCTGGTCAGACCACGTGGATGGAGAGACGGCCGCCCTGTTGAACAACATGAGGGTGTATGGGACTGCCTTCCTCCTGCTGATGGCCTTGGTGGTGTTTGTGGGAGTCCGCTACGTCAACCAGTTCGCCTCCATCTTCCTGGGCTGCGTCATCGTCTCCATCCTCTCCATCTACGTGGGGGCTGTGGTGTCGGCTTTCTCCCCGCCAGACTTCAAGTGAGCATGTGTCTTGCCTTTGGGATCCTCCCCCCCCCTCCCTATACTCTCTCTCTCACGCCCGCGCCCTCCCCCTCTCTCTTGCTCTCCCTCTTGCCTGCGCCCTCTCTTTCTCTCTTTCTCTCTCTCTCTCTCCCCCTCTGTCTCACATACACACACACTGTCTCACTCTGTCACACTGCCACTCTCACTGTCTCTCTCTCTCTCAGGCACACATTCTCTCTCTCACACGCACGCGCGCACACTCTCTCACACGCACGCGCGCAC